CACTCAGCACTGGGATAGAAATGCTCCTTGTCAGTGCCCCATGTGCAAAGAGGCTTTCTACTGTAGACCTCTGTTGAAGGTTAACACTTTGTTCTCTGAGGTGGTTGCTCAGTTCAGAGATGAAACTCAACAGAAAGCCAGGAGGAGCTGGAACAGGAAATCTCAGAGCTGAAGAAGAGGAGCTCTGAGGTGAAGAATCTAATATGCTCTGAAGACCACCTCCACTTTATTCAAAGCTTTTCATCTCTGAAAGCTGTTCCACCTGCCAAGGACTGGACTGAGGTTATTGTCCTTCCACCAACGTATGAGGGGACTGTGATGAGAGCTGTGGCTCAGTTGGAGGAGACACTGAGGATAGAAATGAAGAAGCTGTTTGAGGCTGAGCTGAGGAGGCTCCAGCAGTATGCTGTGGATGTGAGTCTTGATGCTGATACAGCACATCCTGAGCTCATCTTGTCTGATGATGGAAAACAAGTGAATCATGGAGATGAAAAGCACAATCTTCCAGACAACCCGGAGAAATTTTCTTACTGTGTTTGTGTTTTAGGAAAGCAGAGTTTCTCTTCAGGCAGATTTTACTATGAGGCTCAAGTTAAAGGAAAGACTGACTGGGAATTGGGAGTGGCCAGAGAGTCGATCGACAGGAAGAAAATAATGACTCTTAGTCCCGAGGATGGATTCTGGACTGTAGTGCTGAGAAATGGAAATGAGTACAAAGCTCTCGATGATCATGATGTCTGTCTTTGTCGTCCGTCTGGTCCTGAGAAGGTGGGAGTGTTTGTAGATTACGAGGAGGGTGTGGTTTCCTTTTATGATATAGATGCAGCAGCTCTTATCTACTCCTTTACTGGCTGCTCCTTCACTGAGAAACTCTACCCATACTTCAATCCCTGTAATAACGACAATGGCAAAAACTCTGCACCTCTCCTCATCACTCCCATTAATCACACTGAGTAGAAAAATGATTTTATATGTAGCAGTCGGTGACACTGATTGATTTGGTCTTCTTTTCTTTTCTGATTCTGATTGATTTGTTTGTGTTTTTATGTCATATTCATCTTAAATTGATCTTAAAGTCTGAGTGATGCTGATTTTGACTGAGGCAAAATAGTCTTTTAATTTTTTTTATAATTACAAAACATTTTTGTTTGTCCTTGTTTTTTTCTTTTGGTCATGCCTGTGATGATGTTATTCACTCATAAAGGATAAATAAATTGTGTTTGCATCACAAATCCACAAAAAGCAAAAGATCTGCAAGTATGACAAAATATTCTCTCAACCATTTAGTGGTAAACAGGGCAGATTGCCAATGTTTATAAATGAAAGTCTCTATTCTAAAATTAAACTATCCACATTCTCAAAAACTCCCATCTTTCATCCATAATTTTTATCACAGTGCCACTCAGCAGAGTTTAGAGTTAGACTAGAGTTAGAGACTCTAATTATCGTTAGCTCACCATTCAAACTCATTCGGTAGTTCAAGAATCTGGAGACATAATATTTGCAAACATAATAAAAAAAAACATTAATTATGGATAAGGTGAGAAATTCCTCTTCCAGAGAAGACACTTACTTCTCCTCTTTCCTTCAGAACTTTTCCTCAGTAATTTTATCTCACAGCAAGTAAGTAAATGCAACAATCTGCTCATAGTGATCATGCACCCATCTTCCTGACATTAAACATCTAATCACAAATCAAACCCACCACAAGAGGGCGACTCATTACATCACTTCTTTAACACCTATTTTTTGACACTTTCTTTTAGACAGGGTGGATTATATTTTTCTTGTTCAATGATGAATACCATTACAATTGAAAAACAACAAAATGAATTAGAAATTAAAACTGATTGCTATTCTAACAAACGAGCAGCTCAAATACAAACACTTTTAATAAAGTGCAGCTCAAGCCTTTTGGAGAAAGCTGCATTCCTCTGAGCAGAACCCAACACAACCCAGAAAGCTTTTAAAAAATAATTAATTAATTCTTTACAAATTTTGAATTTGGAGGTAGAATCAATATTTGTCAAAAATATCCAAAGTCCAAAAATTTTAAATACATTTATGTCTTCATACATTTACTGTTATTGTAACAGTAAATGTTCTTTTGCTTTAGACAGTAGAATATAAAACGAATAAATCTGAGAATAGAGTAAGGCTTTATAAAAATAAAGTGGTACAGTAGATATTTACTGTCACTGTCATGAAAAACTAGGAGACAACCATGTGAACATGCTCTTAGAATACCTTTCTATTTTACACTTATTCATTGGTTCAAAAGCTAAATTGTGACAAATGAAAGTTTTTAGGCAAGTTACTTGAACAGCATTGTGCCGCTCCCTGTAAAATCAGTCAAATCTGAGGTTGCCACTGGACCTTTTCAAAATCAGAGGATTTGTTTGTTGTTTGTACGACAGTTTTAACCTTCATACTGTAAGAAACAAAAACTATCCAGCATTTTTCATTTTTTAACTCCCCCACACTTTTTAAGGCAGAAAAATAACACATTTAATGATTTTTTAAAAGTAAATTAATAAACCAAAACTACAAGTCTCAGGTTTTGAATCTAAAATCATGCATTTTTTCTTCCTGGCAAACATCATGAGCAGATATCGTAGTTTCAATATCAGATTCCACTGCTTTAATAACTGTGATGCATAACAGGAGCAAGTATTAGTTCACTGGATGGTCATCTTCTTTCTCAGTACTCAAAGGAGAAAAGTTGAACAAATGCTTTTTGGGTGAACTTTAAAGGGTCATATCACAATGGGCAGGGTGCAAATTTGCCAAGGGTGGATGGCAAATTTGGCTAAAGCCACTTTGCTATCCCACTCCCACTGAAAAAGCTTTCAAGTAAAGCCACAATTGTAAAAGTGGAAAAATATCTGACATATTGTTGAGTCAAATAAATAAGCAAACAGGAGAGACATTTTCTCTTGGTGCAAAAGTGCAATGAACTCACCACTCACTGGGACAGCTGTGAGTGCAACACTTTGCAGTTTTTTAATCATGCTTTAGATTAGCTGCATAAGCTGATTAATGACCTCCTTCCAGTTTTAAAGAAATATGAGGGGTACTTCCCAAAATCTGAGCTGCATTCCTCGGTCAAACTGGTTACCATGATTGCCCCACAAAACTGCAGTTTACCAAATAATTAAAGTGAGCTTGCATTACAATAACTTTTGTGAACTTTTGTCCACTTATTACTTTGAAGGATCAGTCATTTCTAGCATAACCCACCGTGAACTGAAACAGCTGTATTAACATTTCCGCATTTATCCTAAATATAGAATTAAAGAAAAGCTGAGACATCATGAATTGTCTCAGTTGTAGCTGAGAAGTCAGTTAAACCTCAAAAGGTTGTTTCTTGTCTATTCAGGTTAAAGTACTAGTATGAACTGTGTCATGCCACAATCTAAAGAAACTCAAGAACAGATGAGAAACAAAGTCATTGATCCCTGTCAGTCTGGAAAAGGGCTACAAAGCAATTTCAAAGGCTTCGGGACACCCTCAAACTGCAGTGAGAGACATTTCCCACGAATAGAGAACCCTATCCAGGAGGTCACAGAAGAATCCAGTACAATAGCCGCTGTGGCTGAAAACCACAGTTTTTGAAAATTCAGAAAAAGCTGGAGGTCAAGTTAGAGAGAAGTGAGCTTTTCTCGAAGGTCCACTTCCCTCTTTATTAACATTCCTGAACTCAGTTGTGTGTTTTCCAGCTAAACATGGAAATACAGAACAGATGAGATCTTCAGATCTACTTCAGTTTTAACTCATGTATGGGAAATTAATATTTTCACTCACATTATTCTCAGTTTACATGTAATTCTGAGGTTTTCCTGAAGTTTTCTTTTTTAATAGTATGAACTGGGACTTTTTTTTTTATATAAAAGGCCTTTCCTGGGATGTTTAATACTCTATTTTGACCACTGTATTAAATGAGATATCATGTCTGCTTTATGTCACAATTATGATAAAAAGATCATTTTATCAAAGTGTTAGCTTCAAATGTAGAGGTAAAAATTGCCGTAAAAGATAAAACATACAGAAGTACATCACATAGATAAGTAGAATATCAGAGCAGCTGCGACACATCACTATCTCACTGAGTATGCCAATTGCTGTACCTATTGGCCTGCTGTTCAATCAGTTAATGCTCCTTAAAGTATATCTGGAAAGAGTCCTTGTCCTGAGGAAGCCATCGCACTGGCATCCTAGAGATAACTCTCTAACAATATGTGTGCAACTGCAATAAACATGCACAATAACAGTGTGTGGGTCCCAGTCATTACATGTATTATTTTACTCTTCTGAACTCCTTTTTCTGACCACCTGATATTTCCTCTGTGCTTGTACAGCCTTGATCCATGATTTGAATCTGCATTGTTAACTCAGGTGGGTGGGTGTTCAGATATCTGAGGTGAACAGCGTTTTGTGAGTTTCTGAATTTGCAAGGTGTAGTTCCAAATATCCACTAACACAAGTGGTTGTCTATTAAACAGGAAAGTGCTATTTAAACTATTAAAACTCAATACAAACAAGTTCCAGCTGTAGCATGTACTATGAAGTATGCTCAGTAAAACCAGAGCACTACTGAAAACCCAGCATTAATCCTGAAGTTAATGCTTTAGTTTAAGCTTCCTGTATGCAAAATTTTTGTTTTTACAGAATTGTTATCCTGGAAAAATTCTCTTTCTGTATTTTTAATTTTAAATTGTTTTGTTGTTTTTTTTTACTTTGGCTGAAGTACAGTCAAAAGCTTTCATTTACTATATGCACTATAATTAACTTTCTTTCCTCCTACATGTCAATAAGTGGTATTACTGCAGCTTGGACGCAATCAGAAACCACTGCAGCTCAGCTTTTATTATCATTATGGTAACCTAGCATGCTGCTTTCAAAATGATTAAATAGTTTTTCTATTTACAATAGTTGTAGTACAATGACTCTTACTTTGATCCAAAATAAAAACCAGTGCAGATAAATCAGATGAATAACACTACTGCTTTAATTGTCTCAACTGTGTTTATTATTGATGTATACAAGTTTACTGAATGATAATATTCGGTAAATTTATATACTTGGATGCATTTATTGATTGTTGGGTACTTGCAAGAAAAAAGATTGAATAGGGATAAAGTTGATGAACCATACCATCTTTAAGCTAGGTTAAGAAGCAACATAATGATTAGCAAGCAGGAGTATGGCTTTATGCCAAGAAAAAGCACTATAGGCTGATGTTTGCTGTGAGAGTGCTTCTCTCGGTATGGAGAAAGTCAGAAGAGGTGCACTGTGTCTTTTATGAATTTAGAAAAAACAGAGGAGCTGAGGTATTGCACGAAGTCAGAAGTGGCAGAGAAGAACAAAGGGTAATGTGGGACAGTGAGATAGTCATGAGGAGTGGAATAGGAGTGACAGACGGATTAAAGGTGGGCATGGAGGGCATCAGAGATCTACTCTGAGCCCATCATCAGAGATCTTGTTTGCGGTTGTGATGGACAAATTGACAAATCAGGTCAGGCAGAAGTCTCTGTGAACAATGATGTTTGTAGACGACACTTATCTGTAGTGAGAGCAGGACCAGGTGGAAGAGACTATTGAGAGGTGGAGAGAGAAGAGGAATGAAAGTAAGACAGAATGAGTGAGGATAGAAAGAGTAGAGGTAGTAAAGATATATGAGTTTAAATACCTGGGTTTAACAATTCAGAGTGCACTGGAGAGTGAGTGGAGATTAGTGTCAGGTGGGATTTGGGACAGAAGAATAGCAGGAAACGTGAAAGGGAAGGTTTACAAGATGGCAGCAGGCCTACTGTGATGTATGGTTCAGGTTATGGTTTGTGCACTAACAAAAACATGGGAGGCAGAGCTGTATATGTTAAGACTTTCACTAGGACTAGGATGAACAATATTAGAAATGAATAAATGAGAGCGAAAACTTGGGTTGGGTTTTGCATTTTTGCACAGCACACTGAGAGGATTTTTTCCCAAATCTTCAGTCTTTCCTCAATAAATGAGTCAGGTGGAGTAAAACAAGTCCAAATTGTCAACATTTTAATGATTAAATTGTAAATACAGATGGAAAGTTTATGATAACAGAATATTTTTCTATAAGATGAGAATTTTTGAGCATGGGATTGTTGAGCAAGTTTTTTAATCTAACACGTCTTAAAATTGTCATGACCAGTCACACCAAAGCAGATCGCCGGCTGATTAAAGATCCTGGATATAGTAACAAAAGATATTCTTGATTTAGAAAGCAAAGCGAAAACCCTTTAAACTTGTTTCCATCTAAGACTATGTCCACACGTACACAGGTATTTTTGTAAGTGGAGATTTTCCATTTTCGTTTAAAAAAAAAAAGAATCATCTTCCACACATGCATTTTTATAAAATATCTCTATGATATAATGCTGTGTCGAAATGTTGGCCAATCAGAAGTCTAGATGCCTGAGAGGGTAAGCGTAAACAAAGATGGCGCATAGAAGCAGAAATGAGTCCTATGTGTGGACAGACAGTGAGGTGGAATTATTCCTTAATATTACACTTGTTGTGAGAGTGTCTGTGTTGAATGTAAAAGCTACGTCCAAAGTTCACTCTGTCTTTCCAAGTGGAGGGGCAGCAACTGTGTGTGTATATGTAAGCGTGTAAAAACTGCAGATCTGATGTTAAAAAAGGTGCACACCTTTGATGTTGCGTGGCTAAATCTCCATTTTGCTCGTCCACATGTAAACGCAAAAACTGAGTTTTTCGAAAATCTCCACCCTGGCAGGAGTTTTTAAAAATCTCAGTTTTCAGTGGACAAAAGGGCCAAACGCATAGAAAAAGCTGTGTTTTCAAAAATACCCGTGTATGTGTGGACGTAGCCTAAGTGGCCACTGTTTTCTGTTCAGCTTCATTTCAGGAGTTGATCTCATGGCTCTGTTTTCTGCACTATTTGTTGGGCATGGATGTTAAGTTATGGAGAAACTCTCTTCTCACATATCCAGAATTTTTCAATGGAACATGGTGCATCATTCCAGCTGTTTTCTGAGTCGTAAAATCTTACTTCTCCACAGTTTTCACTTCTGCCACCATTTGGTTCACCACTATTCCAGTAGCTGAAATACAGATAAAATTATAAGAGTTAAACTCAACAGATCAGTCAGTCTTTTGTTTTTAGTAACAAGATATGAATTAAATTAAGTTAGTTAATGTACTTGATGATATAAGAAGACTTTATGGACAAGAGAGGAATTTAATTTTTATTTCAACCTTGTGGTCATGCGAGTCCCATCCACCCATTTCCATCTTCCGTCTGTCTCTGAGTCAGTCAGTCCAATCCACAAAGACTTCTTGAACTGGTTCACAAAATTCTAGTTGAAAGACAAGTAAGTGTAAATATACAGAACTTAAAGTGATGTGTCAGTGCATTCTCTGATTTCATTCAGTGTTTTATTCTGAACATAGTACATTAATTTATGTTTGCACACACACACCTGTTCCTCTCGCCTGTTGATAATCATCAGGTGTGCACCTTTTTGAAGACAGTCTTGTCTGCTTTCTTCCCAGGATTTCTTCTCCAAAGACACTTGGTACAAACTATCACTGAAGGCCACCCAGTTTCCTTGGCAATCTGTTAATAATTTGGGCTTTGTTAGGATCTTATCTTTAAGGCTAATATCTCATAATTAGCATCACATATTTGTTACACAAGTGTCAGTTGTACAAATTCACAAAGCTTTAACATATGAAAGAAAAAGAAAACACTGTCCCATTGTTGCACAATATGTCTAGTTTTACATCAAATAAAAAAGTTTTATTTTGGTTTTGTGTTTTAAAAGAACATGAGAAGAAATGCATCATTTTTGTGCATTCAGAAGGAGTGTGTGGGAAATATATATTTTATCTAAGGATTTTGCTTGAGTCAGCAACTGTTACTGACCACTGAAAATAAGGAGAAACTCGAGGTTTTGTCCAAAGTCCACTTCTCAGTTAGAAGGCTTCATGGTGCGTTAGTAATTTCTAACATAACACACACTGTGAACTGAAACTGCAGTATTAAAATTTCTGTCATTGGTTACGTGTCTTTCACAACTAAATATGGAAATAAAAAAACAGCTGAGACATACTGGTTGAAGTTGAAGATAAAAATGAAGAGAATCTTTTTTTCTTGTCTACATGGATTAAAGCACCAGTATGAACTATATCTAAATAGACTTAGAACATATGAAATATTCATATATTCACATTAAGCTTAATTTACATTTAATTCTAGGTTTTACTGAGGCTTTCTTTTTTAATAGTATGGAACTGTCCAGATGTTAATATGGTGGAAGGGACACTGAATTTCACTTTTCAAGTCTTAACCAATATCGTTAACGATGTGATTCAATAATGCATTAAATGAGAAAAAAACAACAACAACACCGTCATGTACTTGAGTGTTAACTTCAAATGTAGAGGCAAACATTTCTGTACGAGATAAAATGGAAACAAATAATTACCTTGAAGTTTTCTCTGAAGATTGTCTCTATTTTTGGTCATGTCTTCAAATCTTGTCTGGAGCTGGTCTCTCTCTTTAACTTTGTTGTTGTAACTGGTCAGCAATTGGTCCTTTTCAGTTTTCAAGTTGTTGTAACTGGTCAGTAACTGTTCTCGTTTGGTTGTCAGGTTGTTGTAAC